TTGGGAATCCAATGGTTAGAAACCTTAGGGGTTATGTCGGTGAATTGGAAGACTTTGGTAATGAAGTTCAGTTTGGGGGAAAAGCAGGTGGCATTAAGAGGAGATCCTAGATTAAATAAGTCACCGGTCACGTTGAAGGCATTAATGAGGGCATTGAGACATAGGGACAAGGGGTTTGGGTAGAGTTAGGAACTCTTGGTTTGGACCAATCGGTCAAGGAAGTGAGAATTCCTTTGGAATTGCAAACGGTGCTGAGGAAATATGGGAAGGTATTCGAAATGCCATAGGGACTGCCACCGGTTAGGACCAAGGATCATGCAATTGTGTTGAAGGAGGGGACTACCCCTATAAGTGTGAGGCCATACCGGTACCCTCATATATAGAAAACGGAAATTGAGAAATTGGTTGGGGAGATGTTAGCGGCGGGCATAATTCAACCCAGTGTCAGTCCGTATTCTAGTCCAGTTTTGTTAGTGAAGAAGAAAGATGGCGGTTGCAGATTTTGCGTGGATTACCGTGCCTTGAATAAAGAGACGGTTCCCGATCGGTTTCCGATTCCGGTGATTGAAGAGCTTCTAGATGAGTTACATGGGGCCACAATTTTCTCCAAGATTGACCTTAAGTTGGGATACCATCAGATCAGAATGAAGGCCGAGGATGTACTGAAGACGGCATTTCGTACACATGAGGGCCATTACGAGTTTCTCGTTATGCCGTTTGGTCTTACGAAAACTCCAGCGACTTTTCAATCGCTTATGAACGACGTTCTACGTGCCTTCCTTCGTAAGTTCGTACTCGTATCTTTTGATGATATACTCATTTACAGCCACACCTTGGAGGAGCATGAAGACCACCTCGGCCAGGTGTTGGCGGTTTTGTAGCAACGTCAACTATATGCCAATGCTAAGAAGTGCAGTTTTGGGCAGCATTCAATTGAATACCTTGGCCATATTGTGTCTGCGGCAGGAGTTTCGGCTGATCCGACTAAGATTGAGGCCATGGTTAATTGGCCGCCTCCTGCCAACTTGAAGGACTTGCGGGGATTTCTCGGATTGACGGGGTATTACCAGAAGTTTGTGGCGGGGTATAGTCAAATTCCAGGGCCCTTGATCAACTTGCTCCGAAAGGACAGTTTTCAATAGGATGCGGAGGCAATGCAGGCTTTTGAAAGGTTGAAGCATACCATGACACGCGTACTGGTGTTAGCCTTGTCGGATTTCACTATGCCATTTGTTCTTGAGTCCGATGCTTTTGGATTTGGAGTGGGGGCCGTGTTGATGCAGGAACAACGTCCTATCGCTTATTTCAATCAGGTCCTAGCTCCTCAAGCGCAGAACAAGTCCGTTTACGAACGGGAGTTCATGGCCATTGTTCTGGCCGTTCAAAAGTGGCAACCGTACCTTGGGCATCATTTTCTGATTCGAACGGATCAGCGTAGCCTCAAGTATTTGCTCGAGCAGCGCCTAGTTACCATAGAACATCAGAAATGGTTGACCAAGTTGCTGGGGTATGACTTCGAGATCCAGTATCGGCCTGGGGTGGAGAATCGAGCCGCGGATGCATTATCACGACTAGTGGTCAGCTCGGTTGTGGCCACCATGGCGGCATCTACTTTTGTCAATACCGACGAAATCCATCGACAAGTGTTGCAAGATGAACGGCTCGCGAAAATTTGGTCCGATTTACCCCACAACCCGGCAGCATACCCGGGGTATTCTATTCGACAGGGCCGCTTGTTGTATAGAGGGCGAATGGTGGTGGCCCGTGGTTCTTCAGTTGTGCAGCGTTTGTTACATTCCTACCATAACGGGGTGTTGGGGGGCCATTCAGGGGGCTTGAAGACTTACCGCCGACTTGCGGCCGATTGGTTTTGGCTTGGAATAAAACGAGATGTTACCGCGTATGTGGCGCGATGTGAGATATGTCAACGTTGCAAGGCGTCTACATTGGCACCCGGTGGGTTATTGCAACCCTTGCCCATTCCCGAGCAGGTGTGGGAAGACGTGTCTATGGATTTTATTGAGGGCTTACCTCGTTCGGAAGGGTATGATACGATTTTGGTGGTTGTGGATCGCTTGAGCAAGTATGGCCACTTCATCGCCTTGAGGCACCCGTTTTCGGTGGAAAAGGTTGCCGAGCTGTTTATCCAGGAGGTTATGCGGTTGCATGGGGTCCCTCGGACCATTGTATTGGATCATGACCGTATTTTTCTTAGCCGCTTTTGGACTGACTTGCACAAACAGATGGGGACTTCTCTTTCACGCAGTACCGCGTACCATCCGCAATCTGATGGGCAATCAGAAGTGGTTAATAGGTGTGTGGAGACTTATTTGCGGTGTTTTACTTCCGACAAGCCGGGACAGTGGCGTAAATGGTTGGCTTGGTCTGAATATTGGTACAACACTTCATTCAACACGGCTACCCGTATGACTCCTTTTCAGGTAGTTTATGGCCGACTTCCTCCGCCCTTGCTGCGGTACAATGTGGGAACTTCACCGGTGGATTCAGTGGAGCGACAGCTGCGGGATCGCGACGCCATGTTGGATTTACTTAAGTTCCACCTCTTTCAGGCTCAACAGAAGATGAAGGCAGTAGCAGACGGAAAACGACGGGATGTGGAATTTGTCATGGGGGATTTGGTGTACCTGAAGCTTCGTCCTTACCGTCAAGTCTCATTGGCTCACCGTCGTAATGAAAAGTTGAGTCCTCGTTTCTATGGGCCTTTTAGGATCATGCATCGTGTGGGGCCGGTCGCCTATCGCTTGGCTTTGCCAGAGTCAGCCACCATTCATCCTATGTTTCATGTTTCTCAGCTGCGTAAGGCAGTGGAGCAGGAGCAGGCTGTTTCATCTCTACCGCCTCAGCTGACGTGTGACTTGGAGTTGTGCGCGGAGCCGGCTGCTTTGTTGGGGGTACGTTGCGCGCTTCATGGGGGCCGCAATGATCTCTAAGTGTTGATTCGCTGGGCACATTTACCGGCCCACGAGGATAACTGGGAATCGTATGTTACCATTGATGCACAGTTTCCTCATTTTCACCTTGAGGACAATGCGTCTTTGGGGCGGGGGTAATGATAAGCCTCCCATGCGTTTTACATATGCTCGGAGGAAACGACATCACGAGTCAAGGGTGGCAGCTAAAACTCAAGTGGTTGCTGAGGTGGAGGGAAGCATTCGTGTAGAGAATGAGGAAGAGGCTGAGTCAGCAGGGGTTGTTAGTTAGTTAGTCTTGGAATTGGTGAGAGGAATAAGAGTTAGGAGTATAAATAGAATAGGAAGTAGAATAAGGGGGGCATCGATTCATTTGTACAAACTTCCGAGAGAAGGAAACCTAGGAGAGCAAGGGATCTCTCAAAAATCCCCTTATCTTTCTGTAATCAACCTTCCGCCATTAATACAATCAAGCATCTGTTAGTTTTCTTCTGAATTCTGTCATAATTCTACTAACCGTGGATTTGGAGCTTAACACATCGCGGTGGAAATCGAAACGATATCGGAACGATTTCCGTTCGTGATTCATACCCTAGCGCGCACAATTTCTTCCCCGTCCAGAAATTCCCAGTCGTCCACACCCCGGCGTTTTCCCCGTTCCCCTTCCCTGGAAGGTTCGGCCAACTCTCCCAGATCGCGACCGTCCTCCTCCCTCAAACCTGCAACATCGCGAGTTAAGCCTTGGCCCAACCCTGCCTCTTCTTCCCGAACCCTCGCGGCGCCTGAACGAGAACCTTCCGCCGGCAGATTCACCGCCGCCGCCGCGCTCAGTAGTCGCATCTGCTCCCCCAAAAGTCGGCGCAGACCTGCCACGTTCTAGTTCATTTCAACCATGTTATGGTTCATTTTAGCCCTTACCTCACCAATTTCTTTTTCCACCGAAGCCTTGACTTGTTGGATATCTTTCTCCACCTATTCAAATCTCTCGTCAGATTTCTTCCCAGCCGCCATTCCCAAATCAACAGCTCTGATACCAAATTGATAAGAGCTGAACAAATTCAAAAACAAAACCAAGAAGAGATTGGAAAAGATGAAATCAACAAGTGATCTTTACTGAAGATAACAAATGTACATTGATGTGCGGATCTTCGAGGGTCCGCTGCCTCCCCGTACTTGGAATGGTTCCAAGATTTTCTCAGAAAAACTGATTACCCGAATGATCCCCTTTTTCTGTTTTCCCCTCCCTTTTATACACTCTCTTATTCATTAACTCCTAACAATCTTTCTTAGCAAGCTACTAATACTAACAATCTTTCTCAGTAAGCTATTAACAGTCTCCCCAAACCAGAAACCAACTTCCTAAGCCCGTTTATTCTTCCTAATATACACTTTCCTGAGTAAAGGCTTATCACCGAGCTATTGAATGAGCAGGAAATTAATGTACTTTGGGAAGCTTAACATGAAGCTTCCAGAGATTCATAGTTCACGCTTCTAACTGATGAAGCGCTGTCTAGTGGCATCATTTTAGCATGTACCCTGATAACTACTACGAACCTTTTGTAGTGCGAGGAAAATGAAGTATTTTAGTTCATTAACAATCCCAAGCATACTTGTGGAGTTTAGAATATTATATCAAGTTTTTATTCAATTAGGGAATGTTATTTTGGGATAAGGGTTAGTTTTCTACTTTTCCATAATCAAGCCTTATTTCATTTTGATTAACTCTCCTAATTTGTTATTTTAGATTGTAGTTGAAATAGAGACATTGTTGATGAATGAATATTTAAGATTTCTGGTTTTCCTTCTCTTGAATTTGTTGTTATCTCTAGAATCCTCTCGCTTAAAAAAAAAAAAACAAAACAAAACAAAACAAAAAAACAAAAGAATCCTCTCTTTGGTATCCTGAGGCCTCTATTGATTTCTAGCGGTTCCATTTCTCTTTCTCAATTTTTCTCTCTTCTATCTTGGTTATTACATACAAATCCACGCCATTCATGCAAGCATAAAAAGGTTATGTGTGCTTGTCACGTGTATGGCAAGGAAACTTTAGAAATTCAGAAGAATACTTACCAGCCCTTTCTTGTATTGCATGGCCAAGAGTGCAGCAATGAAGAATGTCTATCAAAGACAAAAAGGTTAGACTTAACATATGCGTAAAACACATTGCAATATAAACACACATAAAAGGAAAATAAATTTTAGCTTCATCTCGTGGTACTTTTTTTACCTTATCTCCAATTTCAGAAACAAATATCAATGAGAATGCAGCTGTGAATCCTGATTTTGCAAATGCTTCTAAAAGTGTTGAGGGTCCTTTCGCGAAGGCAATGAGTGAAAATACCGAGGCACACCCGAATAGCACAAGAGCAATAGCAAGAGGATAAGGAATTTGGATTAATGGCTTCTGACTATCAATTGATAAAAAAATAGTATAGATGAGTTTCACCAGGATGGCTATTATAGACCGCTAAAAGTGCCAACACACAAAATGGAATGGTACTAGCTACTTGTTTGGAAATCTAATTACGATAGATTGAACAATTAAGGAGTGATGCGTAGAAAAGTTATGCCCGTAATATTATTCTTGTAAAAACTAATCGTAGCTATCCTTATACGTGATTATCGTTCTCCATAAATTGTCTTCTAGGAGCGACAATATCATATCAAAAACAAATCTTAAGATTGAAAAGTTCGTTTTCTATCTTACTAGTTACTACTAAGCATAGTACCAATATCAGCAAAAACTGTAAAGCAACAACTCTACAATTGTTGAAGTTGAATCAATATGATGCAACGCACCTGTCAGGTGAACTGTCTTTTGGTGAGCCAGCGGTAAAGATTTTCTTGCCTTCATTCTCCTCTCTTCCATCATAGCCCCCAGATCCAATGCTAACATTAGATGCTTGAACACGAACCGTGCCACAATAGGATCTCGAAATGTCTCTACACCTTACTATAAATAAATTAGACAGTGAATTACTCCTTCGATAAAAAACGAAATTTTATTAATGAAGAAACATCATAACAACATTAACACATTGAGGACAAGAAGTTCTCAAAGAGAATAAAGAAGAAACCAAAGGTACTAAAAATACAATAGACACACTATTGACTCAAAATAGTCTTCCGACTTGACACGATCATAGATAAAGGGGATTCCTTAAACGCTTTATCTATGGAACCCTATAAAATGCAAGATTTTTGGTTCTTTCAAATAGAAAACAATAATCATGTTCAATATCCTCAAAAATCCTTCCATTCCTTTCCATCCATCCAAATGACCCAAAAAGTAGCCAGCGCCACCACACACCCCCAAATCACCTTGATACCTTCGAATTCTTACTCAAGCCAAAACCAACAGGTTTTTCCACGATTAAATGCCAACAAGTTAGACAGTGAATTACTGCAAAATGCCATGATAACAGAACATGCCCACAAGTGCTACTAGAATCAGCGTCACCAAAATAAAGGGGGTTTCTTCAATACAATTCAACCTGACCAAAGGTTTCTTCAATACAATTCAACCTAACCAAGACTTTCCTATAAGTTTATCCCAACTTTCTCTGAAAAGGCACAATTCGCAATATGCCAACAAAAAGAAGACACTTGCAGAGAAACAAATTAATAAAATGTCAACTCAACCTTTAAATTTATCTAAATTATATATTGCACCTCCAAAAGAAACCAATTCAAATTAACACTTTCTGCATAAATGAAAAAGTTTGGTTCATGGTAACTCAGCCAAAGAATGCCCATAAACTCTAAATTCTTCAAGCCCAGATAGAGAAAGTCCGTCAAAAGCCCCTCTAGTTCAATAACCAAGATTGATTAAGGTCTTGAACTCTAAACCATCCAAAACCCAAAAACCTCCTAGTCAATTTCTTTCCAAAGAAAACAATTTCAGTCCGTTTCAGTATAACATATAAATAAAACCAAATGAAAACAAAAAAAAAAAAAAACCCCAGAAACTTACATGAGGAAGAGGAACAAATGGTGTTTCTAGAGAGAGTGGCACAACAAGGTAAAGAGTCTACAACAGCTAACAAAGGAAGCTTCCTTCTTGATGATATAATAATTGGTTTGTTATTATGAACCACTAACTTCTGCATTTTTTTCCCTTTTTTCTTCTTTGGAGTTGTGATTATGATTTTCACAACAAATTCATCTCTTTCATGAAAGTCCCAGATCCCAAAACCAAATGGGTTCTTCCCTTTTGCCTTTTATACAACTTTTTCACTTCGGAATTGTGAACTCGTTACAGACACGATTGAACTGAGAAAGAAACTGGTGTCTTGTTTGAGCGAAGTAATTTCCAGTACTCGGAGATCCATGGGTGGGGCTCTTGCAGGCTGCCACGTGTCTTATGGAGATAAAAAGGTAAATCTGCGCGGTACTACCAATCGTCGACGTTTTATACCGCCCTCACTTGACAATTTTTTTTTTTTTACTATTTTATAAGGAGAGATTTGGTTGGATGATTAAAATTATGATTTGAATCATAGTTTATGATTTATTACAGTATTTTTTTTTATAAAAAATACACGTAAATTGAAAATAATTCTAATTACATGATTCTAATCCATGAACTAAACGCCTCCTAAGTTTTTCTAGTATCATTAAAAAAATAAATTATTAGTAGTTTTTTATTTTAATTTAATATAATTTTAATTAAATTTAAAGATTAGAAATTAGATTTATAATAAGACTTACCTACTAGAAAAAAGTCTATTTCCTCTTAATTTTATCTTAAGAATTCTAGGATGAGGCATTGAAAGAGATGCAGGCGGATCTATAGGGTGTGTTTGGAATTAGTTCCAAAATATTTTTGTTTTCTATATGAAAATATAAATGAAAACGTTTTCATTTTCATTTTGAAATTATTTTTGAAATGCGTTTGGTAGTTTTATTCAGAGATTGATTTCAGTTTTAAAAAAAAATTGAAACTGCGTTTGGTGGTTTAATTTTTGAAAACATGTAATAATATTTAAAATAAAATAATATTATTAAATATATTAAATAAACATCATTATATAAGACAAAAACGGTTTCAGAAAAGAGAGAAGAAAATGAAAAAAAAAAATCCGTTTTTAGAAAACGAAAACGAGAAAATGAAAACACCTTTTTTTCGTTTTCAATTTTTCACAAAAGACAAAAACGATTTTGTTTTCGTTTTTAAAAAATTTTTAGGCCAAACGCATTTTATGTTTCCGTTTTCATTTTTTAGTCTCGAAAAACGTGAAAAATGGAAATGAAAACGGAAACAAACAGGGCCATAATGTCAAATCTATATAGATCGTGGGTTCTATTTTAATTTGTAAGTCTATATCGCATTCTATTAATTTTACTGAATTTTCTATTTTTATATAAAGTTAATCAGATTAAATATTTTGAAATACATTCCATTAATAGAGTATTTTTCAAAAGAAAAATATTTTAATTTGGAATGGAAGAATTCGAATAATAAATTTCCTCATTTTTTTTAAGTTTGAGTAAAAAACTTAAATTAAAATTAAATTTTTATGAGAAAAGACAATATAACAAAAAAGTTGAATTGATTTTTGCATAGTGAATTGAGCGGTTCTAAATTCTAAAATAATTGAAAGTATTGCAAAATGGTTACAACTTACCAGCATTACGCTTATGGTCCATTATTACTTTAAAAATAAATTATTTATTATCCTTCATGTTTTAGTTTTTACAGTGCAGTGAAAAGAACCCAAATTTTGGCAATCTATTCTTTCTAGCTTGTTGTCTAGTGTCCATATTAGTGGTGGAACTTTGGACCGGCGGGCAGGCCCGCTGCACGAATTTTTCAGGCTCGGCAGGCAGGCCCATATGCCGGCCCATCCAAAGTGGTAAATTCGGGCTCAGGCTCGAGCAGCCCGAATTTGGGCACCACGCCAGAGCCCACCGCCGTGTAGGCGCCGTCAACCGTCGTCCGCCGGAGTTTTTTTTAAATTTTTCCAGCCAAGCCCGATTTGCCCGATTGCCTGAATTGCCCCAAAAAGGGTCAAAATTCTGATTGTTGGTGCCCGCCCGAAAATAAGCCCGAAAACCTGAATTTTACCCAAATGCCCGAGCTGCCCGAATGCCCGAAAACCCGTCCAACGGCTAGTTTTTTTATTGTTGCCGCCCGAACCCGACCCGCTGATTCTTAAAGTAGCCGTTGCACCCCGAATTTTTTGAAAAAACATCAATTTTTTAACCCAAAAATTTCTCTATAAATAGCCCCCATCCCCCACACATTTTTCTCACTCAAACTCTCTCAATCCCTCTCAATTTCTCTTAATCTCTCTCAATCTCTCTCAATCTCTCTCAATCTCTCAAATCTCTATTACAATTTTTCAAAAAACTATCACATTATCCTAAAGCTCTCTCTCTCAAATCGCTCTTACTTTTTTATAATGGATCCTTTTGGTTATAGTGGTATTCCCGTTAATGCCCAACACAACGTGGAAGAATGGCAATTTTCCACTAATGAATTTGTTACACAGGAATCTACTAATCCGAGCCTTGGTGGACGTATTGGAGGTCGTGATTGCAATGGTGGTGAGCGTGGAGAAGCGACGAGTGCAAGTGCGACTGCGCCTGCGTCTGCAAGTGTTGCAACCTCCAGGAGGAAATGCAAGCGCACCTCGACAGTTTGGGATCACTTCGACATAATTGAGGAGATCGACAATGAAGGTAACACTAAACATATAGCTCAGTGTAAATATTGTTTATCTAAATTACAAGGTGACACTATTCACGACACCACACACTTGAGAAGACACTCCGAAAAGTGTCTTCAAAAGCTTAGCCAATCCAGCAGATCCGAAGTCCACCAAACACAATTATCTTTTGATCGCGCAACCGGTGGTCTAACCACTTGGAAATACGATCCGCAAGTAGATCGTATGGAAGTTGCATGAATGATAGCTGCTTTAGATGAACCACTTAGTTTTGTAGAGCATCCTAATTGGCAACGATATATTAAGGTTGTACATAATCCTAATGCACAGTTCACTTCAAAAACTACTCTTAGGAAAGATTTATTAAAATTATTTAAAAAAGAAAAAGAAGCATTAATAAACCTTTTACACTCGACTAGCGGATGCGTTGCGTTAACGGCAAATATTTGGTATGTCGTTACCAATAAAGATTATTTAGCTATAACCGGACATTACTTTAAAGGATTTGATTGAGATAAGAGAATATTAAGTTTTAAATGTGTTATAGGATCACATAGCGTGGATTTAATATATAATATCATTTTAAATGTAATTGATGAATTTAGATTAAGAGATAAAGTAATGGCTATAATATTAGATAATGCTAGTGCCAATACAAAAGCAATTGAGTTCTTTGAAAATGATTTAAGTTTATTCGGTGACGGTACTATTTTTCACCAACGTTGTGCATGTCACGTAATTAATTTAATTATTAAATCCAGTTTAAAAGAAATGGGTAATCACATTAAAAGAATTAGAGATAGTCTTGCATGGATTCAAGGTAGTAACCAAAGACAAGAAGATTGGTATAGGTTCTTACAAGCATTAAATATACCTCCTAGAGCATTAGCGTTAGATATGCCTATAAGATGGAACTCAACTTACATAATGCTTCAACAATGCATCCCCTATAAGGATGCTATAACAAACTATATGTGTGCAAAAGTAGGAGTAAGACATAGACGCATATGATTGGCAAATTACCGAAGTTTTGTACCAATTTTTAGGTAGGTTTCATGAAGTGACTCTAAAACTTAGTAGAACATATTACCTGATGAGGACATCAGAGATACAAGGAATACTCACGATCCAATTCAAGTCCCAGTTGGTCTGGTGACAAGGTATCGAGGTAAAAAAGTTAAAGAAGAATTAAATAACTTAGTCCGGAGATTTCTACAACAAGAAGAGAGAGTGTTCACTACTGAGGGTGAACAAATGCTAGTTTTGCTCATTAAAGTTGATCCGGAAGAAAGCCATTCAGACATACACATCCATTAAGCCATTGCATGGCCAATTCGCATGTCATTCCAAGATACACGTCTAAGGGCAAGACCAAGAGGCTTAGGCGCACATTCCAGCAAGGGATCAAGTCAAAATTGCGGATAAAGACTTGATTTCATTATCGTTTTATCTTTTTAGATTTAAGGTTTAGTTTTAAACATTTAAATTCCATATTAGGCGTTTAAAAGGAAGGAGTTAGACTCAAATTTAGATTTCTTCCCTAGGATTAGCTTTAGGTGTGTGTTATCTTATCTTTAGGTGTTTATCTTCATTTAGGCGCCAACCTCATTAAGGGTAGATTAGGATTTTTATAATTTTTAAACTCTACACCTTATTTTCGGCTATTTAAGGCTGAAATCTGAATTTAATAAACAGTTTTCATATTTTTATTCACATTGTGAGATATTCTTCTTGAGTTCTTGAAGAAACTATTCCGAACTTATCAAGGTTTCCTTGTGGTGTTCAACTCGACTTATCAAACAGATTTTCCATACTCGTTTGTGGCGTCTTCACCATACCAAGGTTCTTTCTTTGCTAAGCAACGGGTCGCGGTTTCCATCAATTCTTGAAGATCTTGAATCGTACCCCATATTTGGCTACGGGTTTCATCACGTTGTTGGTGGGGTTCATATTAGTTGGTATCAGAGCTTAGGATCATCAGGTTTTCCTGTCCTTTTTTTTCTTGCTTATTACGTTTTTCTTTTCTTAGTAAAAAAAAATCACCCAATTAGGGTTAGGGTTAGGGTTAGGGTTTTGAATTTGAAAAAAAAAAAATTGCGATTGTTAGCTAGCCATTTGTTTGAGTTTGAGTCCAACTACTATTGTTAGATTTCGACTTCCACTAGGAATCGTTACGGAACCTGTAATATATCAAATCAAAGATCTTTTCAAGCTCTACAATATTCACCTGGGCAGAGCCCAGTGACCTTATTTTTGGGGCCAAAAATTGTTTGTTTTCATTAGTTTCGAAGCCTTTAAAGTTTGAGTGTCAAAAAAAAATTTCGTGACAAATTTTAATTCGTTTGGTTTGAATCTTGACTTGATTGGCTACTTGAATTCCTTATTACTGTTGATCTAGTTTTGAAAGAACTAAAAGAAGAATACGAGTGAAAAAAGGCAGAGAGTGTGAGCATAATAGAGGGTAAAAGCCAAATTAAGTTAAGTGAAACACGAGAGGTTGAGTGAATTATTTTTCGAGAGAAAACACCTTTTAATCATTTAATCATGTCACAGAATCAAGCGAAAAACACAAGTGAAGAGATTCCACCTACCGTTACTCCAAATTTACAAATGCAGGCATTAATGGGAAAGATGAAACGGATGAT